TCCAACTCTGCTGTCCTGCTCTCCGATCTTAGACACACCATGGGAGTGAGTGAGGAAATGCTCCCAATGAGTCGGTCAGGGTTGTGCCACGCTCAATAACTGTAACGGATTGGGTTGTCCACACTCAGTCAGGGAAATGACACACGATGAGGGAAGTAGTAGAGTAATTACAAATTATAAGTCAGGCATTTGCATTAAAAAGTAATTACGAGAAGCTACTGTAGTGTTGGTGCTTTTCCTGTGCCTTTAACATTTTGTTCTGTATCTCCGGCCTCCGACATCTTCCCTTCAATCAAGACCCGTCTCAAAATGTACCTCGTTGTCTGCGTTTTGGTCATCTTTCCCATTCCCACCCCTTTGGCTCCCACCTCCATCTCGGGTCCCAGGCCAGCATTGGCAATTGCTTTGCGACATTCTCCTAACATGAAAGGTGTGGTGTAAATGTAAATTTGTATTATATTTCAATAGATCCTCCTACCAGCATATTTTATTCACAGATTCCCCAGATGAAGGCATACCTGTCTTATCATCTCACTGCTTTACGCAGAAAAGAATATTGAGGAGTATGGGGAGAAAATGGGATGAATAAAAAATAATTTAGACAACAACTGGGTTATCGTGACCAAATGGCTTCCTTGTGTGCAGAGAGTTCCTATGTTTCTATTCCTGGGGGCAGCTCCTTTTGCTGCTTCCAAGGAAGTTCCATCTTTGGGGAAGGGCTGAGCGTCTTGCCAGCGACACTAAGTGGTGTGATGCTCCCTTCTCCAGACGTTGAGTCTGCAGAAGCTCAAGTTCAGAGACGGGCAGCAGGTGATATTCAGGGTGGTCTGCGTCTCTGTAGCTTTCGTGGCTGCCTTTCTGCAAACGCAGCACTTCACGGTAACGCGAGCGATCCCCAGTGGGAAACGAGCAAGACCAGTCCTGCCTCCTCATAGAGAGGTATCACTCCCCCCAGCCTGGAGATGGCATCTTGTTGATTAAGTCCTGACCGCCACCGCCCCCACCCCACCCTCGCTGGGTGACATACTTGAGCCAAATAGTATTTCAGGATCTGGAAGCAAATGCCTTCAATAACTATTATAAACTGAGAGAGTCACTCAGGCGCTACAGTCCTATTGTGACCACCTCCTGGCCGAGAATACAGTGTGGGTCTCATGTAGATTCAGTGTACGGTTTGGCCGACCATAATCCTGCAAGCCAGACACGTTAGGCTATTCTCCCTTTTTTCACCCTGGTCTCAATTTCCACCCTGACTCCTTTGAGCTGTGCAAGGGAAGGGAAAAGCAACCTGGATCTTGCCGTCCAGCGTTGCTGCCAGACAGCGATCACTTAGTGCTTCTGTGCAGAGATGGTGAATCTTCCTCCCCCTCGAACAACAGTGCTTGATGCTCACCTCATCCTCTTCCTCGCCGTTGTCTGGTCTCCTTTATCCTCACTGACCTGCCATTGCCATGGATGGAGAAGACCCTTCAGCCCATTTGATCTCATCCTTCCAAGTTTTACCATCTCCCCCACGAGGGCATCAAGTGAAATGAGGCCAGTGACATGACTTCCACGACCCACTTTCCCTTTTTAGATGTAGGGAAGCATATTGGTTAGAGCACTCGCCTCGCAAGCGAGAGCCCCCGAGTTCAATTCCCAGCGCCTTGGGACGTCCTCTCGATGTGAGAGGCGCTTTGCAAATGCGATTTGCTCTTGTTGTTGGAAGTTGGGAGTCAAACGTTGGCAGGTGCAGGTGCAGTGTAGCGGGCGGTGGGTGTGTGGGAGAAGGCAAAGGAAGGAGTGAAGAAGTGGCACGTCTCTGTGTGCGTTCAGCTCAGATGCTGGCTTTTGTTTTGTGTCGCGCAGAGAGGAATGGTCACCTGGTATCCAGTCATTAGCGTTTCCACAGCCCCTTTTCCCTCGCACAAAAAAAAATGCGCCACATGCTAATTAGAGGTTCTGAAACTTAGCAACCTGTGTAAATCAGACATTTTAATTTGCAGGTTTAATGGCTGTATTATGATATCTGGCTTTGAAATGAGCTTCTCGTGTTCCATCAGCAAGGACCAGATTAACAGAGGCTGACAAAATTAAAAACCTTACAGTGTGACCTTTGCCTGGGATAAAAGGCTGTTTCATAACAATTTCCTTTTGTTCTTTGTTTAAGCTATTACTCCAAAAAGAGACTCCGTTTAATCTACGTAAATGCATCATTACAGTCTTAATCCATGTCCTTCTGTCAATGTCTGCTTTAATTAAATGAGAAATACCAGCAGAAAGTTATCGCACATGGGGGGCTGCGATTGGAGCAGGAAAGGCTGGGTGATCAGAGCTACATTAAACTAAGGCTTCACTTAATTGTTTTTTTCTCTCTCGCCCCCCCGCACACTCTCCCTCCTTTCCTCCCCATCCTTTCATTTGGTTAGTTAATTCAGCACGGAAAAGGCTCTCAGTTCTGGCTGAAGCAATTTGCAGTTCCCTGAAAGAACCCTCATAAAACTCTCAATCCATGACTGTGTGTGGGACACTGCTGTGCGCAATTGGCTGCCGCAATTCGCCCACAAAATACACAGTCAATCCATTTTACAGTGTATCCTATAAAGCGCTTTGAGACGTCTCCTCGAGGTTTATTATATTATTATGTATGTGTATATCTCAGAGTATTCACAGAGTGTGTTCAGAGTATTCCCTTATTTTCTTCCACCTCACTCCCTCACTCCTCACGCAAGCACGCACTCACTCACTCGCCCCTCCAATTGTCTTCTTCCTCTCCTGAAGTACCCACTTTGTTGGGATTAGGTTATGCTGGTCCTTTGCTAGTGCCTCACCCAATTTACTGCTCGTCACATCTGAGCCCCGCCAAGTGAGCGCTGAGGGGCTCTGCGACTGGCGGGTTTACAGTTATACGCTTGAACATATTGTAAATTATATTTAATAATAATAATAATTCTCGCATTTGATATGGTGCCTGATCACATCTTCGAGACGTCTCAAAGCGCTTCACAGGATATACTGTAAAGTGAATAGACTGTATGTTTTGGGGGTGAAACTCCGACCCTCGTTTCCACCCTCCCCAGCGTCTGAGACAGGCTAACTCAGCACAGATTGGGTATTGAGCTTGGCACCTTCCCTGATCTGTATGACTCAGCTGCTCGCTGAATAAATTCACTGAGTCACAGTCAATGGCTCTTCATTCCAGAGTAGGATTTCCCCGGGACTGAGAGCAAACTGGCCCTGGGTGAGGATGATATTGCCTTCTACCTAAAGTCCTCAGTGCTACATCACAGCAATAACATCGTAGGGGCAGGCTGGCGGGCGGGGGTGGAGGGAGGGGGAGAGAGACGGGTCGGAGGAGCGAGGGGGAGGATTAGGGGGAGGTGTCCAAAACGCTTGCTTTGCAATTTTTCAACTTTTTGTTTTAAAAGCTGCGTGTGTCTCTCTCTCTCACAGTTTGTAACCGTTCGGGTGATTTGGATAAACATGAGCTGCACAGCTTCCCCCACTTAATAATTACCACTACTAAATATAGAGAGGAGTGGCAATAAAGCTTTACTTATTATTAATAAGTAAAAAATTCAAGGCTTGTCACTGCTGTCACATCTTCAGCAATGGTGCAAACATGCTTTAGACAAGGGTGTCTGTCTCGCAGGTAGGTGCTGAAGTGAAATTGAGCAGTAAAGGGCTTCTCTGACTCTCCCGCCCCAAACACTATGTGACATTATTTGATGTAATGAGAAGAGAAAGGGTGTAACACTCATATTCCTAATTAATTTAGCCTAACTAGATGAAGATAAATGAAGCTCGTCGTGGATTGATGAAGGCAAGGGGACCCACTTAGCATATACAGTACTGCCTTTCCATCTCTCATTCCTCCTGTCAGCTTGTGTGTGTGTGTGTGTCTCTCTCTCTCTCTTTACTAATATCTGGCTGTGTCTTGTTCTTTCTCTACATTGTGAAGTCCGGCAGCTCAGTGGTTAGAGCACTCGCCTTGCAAGCGAGACACCAGGCAGGGTGAAACCTTGGGCAAATTTCCTTACTCCACACACCTAATAATAATCCCTCCAAAAAAATAATAAATTGGTCATTTTCAATCCACGACTGTTTGTGGGACACTTCTGTGCGCAATTGGCTGCCGCGTTTCGCCCACAAATATATGGTCAATTCACTTTACAGTCTATTCTGTGAAGCGCTTTGAGACGTCGAGAAGATGTGAAAAAGTGCTATATCAAATGCAAGGATTATTATTATATTATTACATTGTACTCTATCTATTATTTTCTTTGCCTCTCTCTTTCCCTCTCATTGCTTTTCTGTTTCTCTCTCTCTCTCTAGTTTTTCCTCTTTGTGTGTCTTCCTTTCTTTCCCTGTGTTTCTTTTCTCTCTCCACTCTTCCCCGCTGCATCTTTCCTTCGCTCTCTTTCTTTTTGAACAGTTATAAGCTGTCTTTCTCTTCTCTTCCATTATGCTCTTTTTTTCTCCCTCTATCTCCCCCCCTTCCCCCCCCCTCTCTCACTCTCCTCTCTGCCCCTCTTGGGGGTTGAGAGAACAGTTAAGAAGAAGGAGCTCTTTATCCCCCAAATTCTCTCCATCTCTGCCACTCTTTCTCCCGCTCTCTCTCTAACATCTTCTCCAACCTACTTCACTTTCCCTCCTCGTCATTCTCCCTCTCTCTATTCCTTCCTCTCTCATGAACAATTGAACCACAAGCCCATTCTTGCCTTGTAGCTTTCAGTAAGTCGATTTAAATAACCTCCCCCACCCCCCCAACACCCCCCAAAGTAAGACGGACAGTCAAATGGAAACCAGTCTGAATTAGCTGTTGTTGCTGACAGTTCTGCCCTGCGAGCATTACAGCACCCATTCCCCCAATCGTTTATTTTTCAATCGTGAAACAATAGCTTGTTGATTATGTGGACAAAGCTGGGACAGTTAAGTTCTGTGTTGTACGGTTATGGGCAGCATTTTAATGCCATCTCCTAATAATGCACTCATTATTGTTTTTTTTCCCTTCTTTTCAGACTGGGCCTCAGGAGAAGGAATATTTTGTGGAGGTACGTCACCACCTTTCAAATTTCTGATCAGCCCCTCATGTACGTGTTAAACACGCACACACACACACACACACACACAAAAACCTCAGCTAATTAAAGTGCTCGGACAGGCTACCAGTATTCAAGCACATCTTTTACAAGGTAGCATAGCTCATTGGCTGGTTAAAGGTGGTAAAACCAGGGGATTAGTCCAGTTGCTGTGGAAACTCCCACTCCCAACTGCACAGAACAATGTACTTGTGTTTCGCTCCCACCTTGGTGCAGAAATTGTTTTTTTTGTGTGTGTTCATCTGTTCGTGTGTTGTGAGAGGAAAGGGCTTTATGAGGAACTGGAATCCGGCCTGGCAGGATGGAGGTTTCTCCGTACAAGGAGACCGGTGGGAATATGAAAGAGGAAAGGTCAAGCCAGGCTCCAAGGACACCAAAGGTCACGGCCTCTCATAACAATATATGGCTCTGTTCTGTTCTTTGTGGCTAAATAGGAGGCATTGTGGGCTCCTGGCTGGTCAGGAAACCAATACCTTTGGCTCTCCAGGTGGAATCAACCAAAGAGAGACGCGATTCACTGCTCGAAAGGTTAAAAGGGGACTTTTTAAAAAAAATAGTTTCATTCAGATTTGTTCTTTTCCATCCCCATCCTCCTTCTCTTTTCTCCTCTTCCCTTCCTTCCTCTCTCCCTCCCTCCCCATCTACTATAGACATTCCCATCAGAACCTGTATCCTGTAGCATACAGAGACTCTGTTGATCTGCCCTACTTTCTTGCTTATGATTCCAGTGTATTTTCTTGGGGGACTGTGGCAGAGAGCTCGTCCGATGGATGGCACACACTTGTGTTCCCATTGCCGGACACCGCTACCCATTAAATTGACCAGAACTGCCACCCCCAACCCCCCACCCCCCCCCCCCCCCCCCCCCACACACACACACACGTTTCCCACATCTCTCAATTTGAAGGGAATCTACTGGAGCTTGGAGTCTGGGAGAAACTGTGTGGTGTGAAAAGCCTTAATCACCATCGCCTTGACATTTAAGGTCGTATGGAATTTTGGAAAATTCTTAAATTCATTCTTCATTTACAAGATGGCTTCTGCACCCCTCCCCAACCGCCCCCACCCCACCACTGTACCCCGCCCAGCAGTTCTTAAAAGGTCCTCAGAAAACGGACTTCCAAATTTAAGACTTGAATTTTTAAAATAATTTTCTAAACTTCTGCATGATGTAAAAGTTGAAGGCAATGATCTTAAGGCTAAAACCAGTCAGATTTCTGGCTTCAGGCCTGCTGAGTGTCAGAATCCAAGGCTGAGCAGTTCCTCTTGTTGCTAAGTTCACCGTGGATGGCAATCAATTTTAAGCATCTCCTATTGTCGGTCACTAAAATACACATGGAGGCTAATGCTGTTTTTTGCCCCACATGCATTTGCAGCTCTCATTGCTGTGTTTGTAGGTAACATACAGCGACTCCCTGCCTTTGAATTTATTGCATTTATTAATACTGTGTCTGTCGTTTGGCATTTCCTGATGTTGATGTGTGCGAGCACTCATTGTTCTCGTCATGACAGAGCCAGGTCTCTTGGTGCCTCGATCTTTAGATCTAAAACACATGACAAGTGAAGCTTGTGGTTGTTGTGAAGGTCTGACTGGTAACGGCGTGTGTGAGCAAATGTTCCAATGGCACAGTCACATCTGAGGAATATGGAAGGATATAAACACTTGCCTTTGCAGTTAACAAGCAGAACATGTTGTTACCAGTGCAGGACTGATGGGCTACGGGAGCAGATTTGCATTGTCTGTGCTGTGTGTCCTGCCATTTGGTTAAGGTCCTGTATTTGTGATTGTGCTTCAAACTGGCTCTATTGACCATATCTCTCCTGGTTGAGTTTGACTGTATTATGTTTGTGTTTGTTTGTGGTCTGGTCTTTCCTGGCTGTATTCTGCCTGTCGTTTTGTAGTATTTTGGTTGTGGTTCGTGGTCTAGTCTGGTCTCTCCTGACTGGAGTCTTACTGTATCTTTGTTGTTGATTATGTCTGCCTGTAGTCTTGTGGTTTTGATGTTGGCTAGCTATGAGTAGGGTTTCTAATATTAAAATCAATTGGACTACAGTAACATCACCATCCTCTACACTGCAACATAGGATTGAAAATAAACTATTAAATTACTCGTTTTAAGTAATGTTAATCTGATCCAAACTGAATGAATAGAATTTGAGAAAAATCAAGAGCAATGGAAAATAAGTTTACAAAAGAATCTACTTCAGCTATTTTAATAAATTGTAGATTTTTCAATTTGTTTGAAACTGCAGGCCATGTTATACTTATAAATAATAATTAAGAATTGTATTTTATATAGCATTTTATCATGTGAATGTCTCAAAGAGCTTCACTGGATTTACAGTGAACCATAGTGACTGTGAATTTGTTCGTGGATGTGGCAGCCAATTTGCACACAGCAATGAAGCGAATGGCCAATTTTATCAGGGAATTGTTGGCCAGGACCCAGGGGAGAAACTCCCTTCTCCTTTCGAATCATGCCACGAATCTTTAATCACTACACTTCACATTAAAATCGCGAGAAGCACTCTGAGACATTTGGACAACATGACGAGGGGCTATATCAAGGTCTATTTATTAACTTTCATTTAATTTATTTGGTTCAACATTGCATAATGTTGTCTCTTTGCTTCAGTTATCCTTCCACCCACTTGTATCAGGTTTGGCTTGGCTTAGTCTGTAGACATTGTAGCTCATTGTCTGAGCTCGATTGACAGCCGACTTGACTGTCAGACTGGCTAGTTTTCTTAAACTCCAAGAATCTTCCATTCTTTTGACTTTGGCTGCTTTATATAAGGCCTAGTTATTGGGTGACATACTTAATCCACATTAGAACAAACTTGCATTTTTATAGCACTTCATCATGAATGTTTCACAGGTGATCGCTGTCAAGCTTGATGCCCGTTATTGTGAACAAACATGGCAAACACCTCGCACACAGCACTGTCCAACGGGATGGGGGTGTGGGGGGAAGGTGATGATCAAATTAATCTGGAGGATTATCAGACAGGAACTCCCTTCTCTTTTAGAATAGTGTCCCCGGATTTTTAGCATCCACCCAACAGCAGACCCCAGTTTAACGTCTGGCACAAGATGGCAGTCGGGTTTGGGCTTGTTTGTCTGTCTGTCACCACTAAAACAATCATGTGATAGTCAGTGGGCGATGATGGAGCCATTTGCAGGATGTTTCCAGCCATTTCCCGCCCTCGGTTGGTGCTTCTTAAACCAATTTGAAAGAGGAGTCCGACTCTGTGGGACTCGATCAGTCTGAAATCCCCGCAGTGTTTTCCTTCAATAACCACAAGGACTGTTTGATTTGTTGAAGCGCTTTGGAGGCGCTGGATTATAGGGGCTGGATTCTGATGCTGCAGCTCGCACTAAATTGTTACTACAATCCTTTATTCTCCTAGCCAGCTGCAAGCTGTCCTGGAGTAAACTATGTCTCGCCAAAACACAATGGCTCTCTGTAAAATCCAAAGGACTTGTCTATCGGCAGCATAATAAACAACTGCTGCATGTGACTGTCCGACACTGAGGTCCTTCACTGGGACACAGGGCTCAAGAATCTAAATAACTTTATTAACTTTTGTTTCCTGTGTGCCCTGACATTTCTATGATCTAAATATTAACATCAAGCACTACATCACAGAGTGGGGCCTCTCCATCTGCTCTGAGAGTCAGGGCGGATATGAGCTCTCAGCCTTTCTGCCCCCACCCTCTTGATTTCCATTGGCTTCACCTTGCCCCTCTCTTGCCTCCTTCATGGCTCGTCTCAAGACCTTCCTCTTTGACCGTGCCTTCGGTCACCCTCCTAACCCCACCCTCCCTACCCTCCACTCGCACTGATCCCAACGCCCAGCTTGGTTGCAAATCCTTGACTGTCCAGTACCTCCCGAGGTGAAAGGCACAAATCAAATATAAGTTGTTGTTGTCTCGGCTGAGCGGGGAGAGAAGGGGAGGCGGTTGCTGCATTGTTCAAGGTTCCGCCTCTGCCCGTTTCTCAAGTGGAAGTTGATGCCACCAGTGGTTACTCCTGGCAGCCTGGCCCCACAATTACCGCAGATAAAATTAGTTGTTCACCTCATGCCTGTTTGTAGGATATTGCCACGTGCTTGTAAAACACACTTAAAATGATTGAATTTATCATCAGCGAAGAAGGTCAGTTTACTCTCACACCCCAGCCTTTTCCCCATATCCTACAGATTCATAGAATTTTTTNAGCAAGGAAGAAGGATATAAGTCAAGCAGCTGGTTTGGCAGATGAATAACATGGATGAAAATATCTCTCTACAGTGCCTTTGCTTGTATCAAAGCGCTTCACAGGAATTACTGTGAAATGGAATGACTGTATTTGTAGGCAAACATGGCAGCAGAAGTGTGTACAACAATATCCCACAAACAGCCATGAGACCAATCTTATCTGGGGTGATTGTTGGCCAGGACACCAGGAGGGAGAAACTCCTCTTTTCAAACAGCGCTCACGATAATAAAGCTATTCGACAAATGAATGCGTTATGTTATTTTTTTTAAAAAAAGTTCTGTTGATGTGAATAAAAAAGTGAACCGACAGGACACGCTCGATGAGATAAAACCGATGCGATGGTGTTTGCTTTGACTTGCGGGCCGTAACAACACGCTGAGGTTTCTAATCATTAGAGATTGTTGTCCCCGCTAATTCCCAGGGTGAAGCCTGCGCTCCTCTTGTTGCGGTGACTGGTGCCTCTGGGTGGGCTCTCGGGCAGCCTTGAAGCGGGCTTCGAATTGCTGCGTGGTTTTACGATGCTGATGCAGTTTTGATATGCTCGTAACTGGCAGATTGCAAAAGTCGACCTTTGTTAGCCCCTGGCTATTGTTTGCAGATTGGTTGCACATTCCGCTGCCTGTGAAAGACACATCTGCCAAAGCCTTCTGAAAAACCTTCACAGCAAAGGCTAAAGGGGAGGCTGATCAG